AGCCCTTGGGGACCATACAAGTGTGTACAAATCTGAAGAGAGGCACAAGTGATGCTCCTGTGACTTAGGGGGTAGTGCAGGTTTGACTTTCAATCAGTTCAGTGTCCCATGACTGAGCCACAGGACCAAAGTCACCCCTGTCTTTGGCTTTATCGTCTATCATTTGGTGGCTTCAGTTCTCAAAAGCTTACATCTTCTAGAACAAGGAAAGAATAACCAGCCAATTCTGTTCCAGGGTTGACTATCTGATTTTAAAAACTTATGAGGTGAAGTTTAATTGAAAATAATAAATTATTTAACTTCCTTATCTGTAAAAAGAGAAGGCTGGACCAGATGACCCTTGAGATCCCTTACTAGTTCTAACATTCTGATAATACAGAAGAGTCCAGCTTATCTGTTGCTCCCAACCACAGGGGCTTAGAGCCAAGGGCTGCAGAGCTTGGCTCCATCATTAGAGCCAGATGGACTGGGGAAGGTGTTCCTCTGATATTCCCTACATACCCGCCACCTTGGCCTCCATTCCAACTCACCCCTGTTCCCAAAAACCATGGACTTCTCCAAATGAAATCTATAATGAGTAGGTTTTCTGGTAGTGATACTGTATACCTCCAGATGCAGCCACCTTCACTCCAAGTCCCCCTAAAAGAATCTCAACTGCTTGGCCCACAGCTAGAGACATGTACCTAGGAATGGAGCATGGACCAGACTTTATTAAACCAAAACTCCAAATCCAGGGAGGGGCTCCTAGATATCATAGTGAAGAAACATACATGTACCATATAGGGTAAATAAAAAACTATTTATTCCTCCTTGCATAAAGTCTCCTATATCAAGTATATATCGCACAATAATTGAATAAATTCATCTGAATCCTATAAACCTAAAAACTACCTTAGAATCATGGCACAGTTCACCCTCTTACTCCCCACCTAGTTTCTTTTTATACATCTTTGTCTTCTTTATAAATCCATAGATATTCTTCTTGCTTATTCCTACCAAATCTCAAATACCTAAGAGTTTTATGACGTTAATGACAGTTTTTTCTCCTCATTCCCTTTTATTTAGAAAATCAGTATCTACTCTCATGGGCCACTTGTCAGAAGATAAACTTTTGCTGCATTCTTTCTGAAGAATTTGCTAGCAGTCTGTGGCAAAACATAATAAATTCAGTTCTAGGAATTTACTCCAAGATGATAATCAGAGATGTAGACAAGAATATATTGTATAAGAACATTTATCTACAACCTATGATTGTGAAAAAAAAAATGGAAACCACTTAAATATCTAATACTGGGTTACAATGTGGCTTAAACATTATTTTTTAAACAATATAAAGGGAAATACTCACCATGCACCAAATAGGAGAAAAATACCAGTATCCTATCAAAACAGTATGCCCCCTATGTTCTAGTACGGGTGTCTGCATGTACAAAAGCTATTCAAAATGCTGTGCAAGGCCCAGCTCCATCAAAATGCTGTGCAAGGCCCAGCTCCATCAGTACCACCATGGAACTTGCTAAATGCAAATGCCCAGCCTGAGAGCTCCTGAATCAGAACGGCTGGGGGTCAGGCCCAGCAGCCTGTTTTCATGCTCACTGTATGCCACACAGCCTCTGAGGTAAGATAGTGAAATTCACCCCATTGGAGGGCCGTAGACACTGAGGCCCAGAGAAGGTAGGTAATTCACCTAGGGTTAAAAGGCTAATAAGTGGGCAGCATCACCCAGGTAGCTCAAGTCCACACTCTTAACCATTTTGCTCTAGAGCCTCTCCAGATGAACTCATGTTTGGAAGTATGCTCCGTGCTCTTTCCCCTAAATGAACAGCGTGATGCATTCCACCTACTGGTTTGTCTTCTTCATTTGGTTTCAGCACTTCTGTTATAAAGCTACCAATTGGGACGGGGTGTTTGGGAACTATCACTGGCACTACCATTGACAAACTTCTTGGTGAGCACCTTCCTGACATCTTTGAAGGCTACAGAAAGACCTTTTGATTTAAGTGCACATTAAACACCAGTCCACATTGGCAGAAACTTCAATGCCCACCAGGGACAGACACCATGACCACGACAACTAAACACAAAAGGTCAGTCTTCTGGCAGCTAAAATGCAGCTGTCACGTGGCAGGCCCAGACACACACTTTACAAACCACTGTACATTTACAATGGCTTACCATTTTTGAAATTATGCAACTCTTGATCAATTTCTTCTACTCTTCCAGTTTCTACATTACTTCAAAATCTGCATGTAACACATTTTTATATCACACCATTTCATATTCACAAAATTCAAGTTCAAAAAAGAATGCTACCAGCTTTTATTCTCAAACTGCAAGTTCCCAAGTAGAGAGGCCTCCTTCAGCATTTTTTTTTTTAAAGATTTTATTTATTTATTTGACAGACAGAGAGATCACAAGTAGGCAAAGAGGCAGGCAGAGAGAGAGAGGGAAGCAAGGCTCCCCAGTGAGCAGAGAGCCCGACGCGGGGCTCGATCCTAGGACCCTGAGATCACGACCTGAGCTAAAGGCAGAGGCTTTAACCCACTGAGCCACCCAGGCGCCCCTCCTTCAGCATTTTTATTGTATGTTATTTTCTAGGAAGAAACACCTCATTCATATAAGGAAGCTACAAAGGGGATGCACTGGAAAGATGGCTGAGTTAGGCCTCATCAATCCTCAGAGGAAGGAAACTACACTACAAAAAACATCCAGCTGGAGTAGCTGTCAAAATCCTCAAAAATTCCTGTCTTCAAGAGCTGAATAGTAATTTCACAAAATTTATGACTTACTAGCCAACCAAGTATTTTCAAAAAAGAAAACTATTTTTAAAAGGACTTAGGGACAGAAACTTTAAAGGCGCACAGAGGCCATTTGTTCAACCTCCTCGTTATTTCAGATGGGAAAACTAAAGCCCAGGAAAATGAAACAGCTTAGCTAAGTTCACAGAGAAAGGGACGATGCCTGGACTAGAACCAATACCTGACTGGTCCCCACTGTGGTGCTCCACACTGACTCACTTCTGAGGACTATACTGAATCTTCTCAGTTGATTTTCTACATTTCCTATGCATTTGGCAAAATCTCTAGCACCACCATTAATGTTACCACTTGACCAATAACTGGACAGCATCTTTAAAGATGCTAATACGTTTAAATTTTCAGTATACTTTAATAAGAGCACCGAAAAGCCTCTCAAGGTAGGATAAAACTATTGATTTGACCTTTTTTAAAAAAAAGGGGGAAAAAAGTTTTAGTTATTTAAGTAATATCTACACCCAACTTGGGGTTCAAACTCACAACCCTGAGATCAAGAGTTGCACGCTCTTCTGACTGAGCCAGCCAGGCACCTCTGCCCTTTTTTTAAACCTGATATATCAACACTGAACAACCACAACATTAAAAAACAAACAAACAAAAAAGCCCACCAAAATCAGGGAATGCACAGACACAGTAACTTCAGACATCCCCTTTTAGACTCCCCATTTATCATCCCATCTCTGTTAAACCCTACCCCTCCTCAAGCATCAGGATGCAGGATAAAATTAAATTTTAAAAAAACTACTGGAAAAGTGAAAATCAGTCCTACTGGCTACTAGAGAAGTAAAGACCAACTTTCCTAGCCGTCCCCAATACTGCCACCAGAACATAAAGAATGCTCAGAATGGACACAGACGAGTCCACAATGCCACCAAGAAAATGACAAGACATCTCTCTGATCTCACTAAAAGGTGTGACTGCTAACTTTTTACTAAATGACAGCTCTAACCCCACATTCATCTCTTGCCTCCTAGATAAATATTGTTAGTATACCCCATCACTGAACTGTGCCTGCTTCCTGACCACATCCAACCCAGGTCCCCATTCCTCCAATCCCACGTTTGGAACACCCAACCCATCCCGACTCTGCTTTCCAACAGAATCTCAACGTTCTTCTGAGCTATGTTCGCCTATGACAGCAAACCAAATGAACCACACTTGGGTATGACTCCACCTGCTCCTGGTTGTTGCTGGCTGATGGGATTCAACACACTTTTGTCTTAATAAGTTACCAGTAACATCTTGTAGAGTAGCGAGAACCTTAAATAAAAAGCCCACACACTAACATCACTTTCCTTGGTCTGCTTCCTTACTGATAAAATGACAGCCAGTAATCTTATCATTTTCCTCGCAAATCTGCTCAATTTCAGCCATATTGTGTGTCAAACAGATTTGTTTCTATGAAAGAACGTGCTCTGGCTTCCACTCACTCAACTTACCCTTTCACAGATACACTTTGTCCGGAAAATTTCATTTTTCACTCTCAGAAAAAAAAAAAGGGAAGGAGAACTTCATGCCAAAAACAATGGTTACAATTATGTGTATTTTCTAAATGGCTAAAATGCTTCATAATTATAAGAATATAAGTTGACTTTTATTTGATTTTTGCTTCCATGGTAAAAATGGCGCTATGTCTCCGTCTGGTTCTTCAGAGAACTGTCTGGCTCTAACTAAACCCCAGAGAGCAGCTATTTACACAGCCCAGGTACTTTTTTAATTAAAGTCCGTTTTCCGCACTCACTTTTCAGGTTACCTCATGGGCTTTCGGTGAACGACAGCATTAAGCGGGTCTTGTTTTGGAAGAGACCAAAACCAAGATGGGAATATTAAGCCCACTGCAGCCAGCAAGACCACAGCCAGGCGTTTTCGCCCGTGGACTTCAACAGTGGCCATGTCCCTCCCTCAGCTTACGCCCAAAAGATCCAGAGAGGAGTGGCGCGGTCCCGGACGCCCGAGCTCACAGCCGGCGGGGGACAAAAGTACACACAGTAAATACAATGTGGTAGCACGTCTTGAGGGTGAGAAGCACAGGCAAGTCTCAGAGCTGGGTTCCTCTCAAGACGGCCTCCCTCCGACTCCAGGTTCTCCGTGTCGACTCCACACATCAGTGAGGACGCTCTGGGACACATATGATGGCACCTGACTAGACGCAGCTGAAACCGCAGGCGCTCGTTTTTAACTCACACAAGAACCTGACGTCAGATGTTCCCGGGCTGCTTCAGAGCTCCGCGGTGTTACCAGGGGCCTTGGCTTTTGCTGTCGTGCCCTGCCTCAGCCGCCCCATACAGCAGCTCCCAGAGGAAAGTCAGCTGGACAGGTCGCCCCCGACTAAGTCTTCTCTCCCTCTGTCTGGGAGAAGTCACGCCCAGAAGCCCCGGGTGATTGGGGGGGGGGGCTGCTTGCATCTGATTGGCCAGAACCGTGTCATGTGATTGCCAGGACACAAAGGAAGCTGGGAAAATGGGAACAGGCACTCGAGCAGCGAGTTGCTGAGAGTAGGGCCTATCGAGGAGACACTCAATTCTGTCAATTTTGTTACACACAGACTGTTATGGGCTGGCTCTCCCCCCCATTCATAATGGTAAAGTCCTATCTCCCAGTGTAATGGCACCTTTGTGAGGTGATTACATGAGGTCATAAGGGTGAGACCCCATGATGAGATTAGTGTCTTTGAAAGACCAAGAGACAACAGAGATCTCCTTTCCCCACCATGTGAGGGCAGTAAGAAGGCAGCAAGGCAGGAAGACAGTCCTCACCAGGAACCAAATCAGCCAACATCCTGATGTTGGACTGCCAGCTGTAAGAGAAAAATGTCTACTGTTTAATAGCCACACAATGCCCCCACCCCCCGACTATGGGGGCTCCTGGGTGGCTCAGTTGGTTGGGCATCAGATTCTTGATTTTGGTTCATGTCTTGATCTCAGGGTTGTGGGATTGAGCCCCATGTGGAGCTTGCTTGGGGCTCTCTCCCACCTCCCCCTCCTCTCTTTCTGTCCCTCCCTGTGCTCACTGTGCTCTGTCTCAAAAAGGCACCAACTATTCCATTATGTTTTTAGTATTTCATTATGGCAGCCCGAGTTAAAACATATCCTCAATGCAACTGTCTTCAAAGGCACTCCAAACTCCTGACAAGAGGCTCGCTGGACCCCTCTGGGTGAGGTCATTTAGCTACTTTTGGACCTTGGCTCCAAAGCTGAAAGGGAAACCCCAGGAACAATCATTTCTTGGAAGTGTGTAGCCCTCATAGCATAGGTAGTAAGAGCTGCAACAACCAAAGATAGGAGACTTTTTAATGGAAACGCTTTTATACTTAGTTTTTCCATCTACACATAACCTCGCTTTTCAAACGGTGGGTGGGGGGTGAGGGGGCCAGTTTGGCAGTTCAAATGTAAACATGTCTGTAGTGGGTGTGGGACCCTGGAACAAGGGAGCCAACTACTCTGACTGGTACCTTTCTCTGCTTGGACTCTGCACATTAAAGCAGATCCCTCCAGATACCTGTCATTCTAAAACACCAGACCTTGCTATTTCCACAGCTGTGGTGTGCGAAGTCACAGGCAAACAAAACATGGTGTCCCCAGCTTCAGGAAGCATCTTACTTCCCACAAGACATTACTTCAGTCACCCATCTCACAGGCATAGTCAGCCTCCCGCAGGGCTACACTGAAGCTTTGTCTATCTCTATGTACAGTAATAGGCCGAGGGAAACTTTCAAAATGAGAATGGGAAAAAACAACAGCAACCCGTTTGGCAAACCAGCAACACATTAAAATGAAAGCTTAAAAACAAGTAGCCCACATTTAAAGGAGCAGACCTCAGGTGCCACAACGTCTAAAAAGTGTAAATGCCTTCATTCTTACTGGGATAGGAAGAATACTCACTGTTTTAGAAAATATTCAAGATTTCAAAAATACATATATTTCTGGAATAGAGGTCTTAAAGAGATAAGCACTTAAATTTTAGTAGTGAGGAATAGATAGGTGATTCATAATCCAGATCCTATAGAAGTTGAGATTTCATTCATTCTCATTTCAAACAGGATGCTCTCAAGAGCAATTTGTAACTACTCCAATAGTCTCCTATTTACTTTGTAGCTTTCACCCTCAGGTAAGTTCTCTGTCAAAGTAAATCACTCCTTCTTCCCCCATGCAAGAAAATGCAAACCACCTACCACTTTGTCTATAACCCTCATGGCCTCAGCCACCAGGGGTGAGGACTTGTGCCCCAAGCGCCAACATACCATCCCTCAGGCTAGTCATTCTGGCATTTCAATCCAATCTATTACTACCCAATAATACTACAGTCAGATGAAGGTTTCCCCAATCTTGCCACACCATCAGGCCACTTAAATCCTATAGCAGCAAAAGTGATTAAGTAAAAGAACAGGGCAGGTCGGTAACAGTAAACGCTCAGCCCAACACTAGTTCCGTATAAAATGGGAGAACTCTGCTTCTCTCTCCCTGCAGTTACTCAAGTTTTAGATGTTTTCATTTCTCTTGTTGCAAGAGGGTTCATTACTCAAGAACTCAGCATCCAGAAACTTCCCATCAGCTTTGACTTCTCTCACAGCTCCTGTCAAAAAGTTCAGAACTTTAACAATATCTGTTTTAAAATCCACACAAATAGCAGCTATTGTAATTTAATTAAATGAAAAGGGCAAGGACAAATGACATGTCAACACATTCATAATGAAAAGTTGTCTTTTACTTACAGCTGGTTATAAAGGAATTATTAATTGCTTCCAGAAAAACAATCATAAAATCATTCCCTAACAGGAAACTACAGATGTACCATGACAGCTAACTACTTCCTTTATGCCTTTAAAAAAAGCTAATCTGAAAAGCTTAATAAGGATAGGACAGTTTTACCTACTTAGATTAAGTATTCAAAGTTAAATGTGGCCAAAGGGCTATGAAAAATGAGATGATTCTTTAAAAAAAAATTTTCAAGGCAATTCAGGGCTCAAAGAAGAAAATCTAGAAATAAATACTCTTTAGTTTATAATCTTACAAATGTCAAATTGAACAAGATGCCAAGTATTTGAGAGTGAAATTTATCTCAGATTTAAAAATTCAGTTTATAGTACAAAATCTACACACACACAATGGTGCATGTGACACAGTAATTAGGAAGGACACTAACAACTTTATTTTCCTAATTTCATCCATGAATCTTCAGAATTAAAGTTCTAAACCTTCTTTCCACTTTATACAATATAATAGTTCTAGAAAAGATCTGTTACCATTCTTAAATTTCCTTATATCCAGTAATATACAAAAATCAATGTTAAAGATAATTATAAACACTTTCCTTCTATGCACCCTCAGGCTTGCTCTAAAGTTGATAAACTTTCTAAAATACCTCGGATCAATGGCTTTCAAACTTCTGTCTGTAATCCTCTTTACACTCAGTGACCCAATAAACACCCGCACTAAAATTAGCTAAAGCAGAAGTTTCCAGAAGAAGCCATCTTTACTATATGCTGTACACTGTGATGTTTGCTTTGTTTCATTTTTTTTGTAATGCTGGCTGTGACCCACTGAATTGATTTCATGAGCCACTAATGGATGCAGCCTGAGAAATCCTGCTCTGATTCATTTATTTAAACTTGCCACAATAACTTAGCAGCACTCTGAAGATGGGAAAGCACCTGAAAATTTGCAACAGAAATGTAAATTGGATGAGCTGCTGTATGCCAACTGTCATCATCCCTTCCAAATGAAAACACTTAAAATCCATTACCTTTTAAAAAGTGTTATTTGGGCTAGTATTGCTGATACTAAAGTCATCACCTCTCTTCCACCTAATCTTTAAACTATCCTTACTCCAGTCACTGAAGAATAACCTCAAATCCTTCTAGCTGTGTGTGAATGAGTAAAGGAATACAAATTAAAGATTACCTAAAGAATTCTGTTGCTAGGTCTTTTTCCATACTTACGACAGAATGTGGGGAAAGAGGTGACCTAGGAAGTACTGTATTTCTCCTTTCTTAAAATATTTTTATAGACTTCATTATTTTTTAAAGATTTTATTTATTTGAGAGAGGGAGTGCATGAATGGGGGTAGAGAGAGAGAGGGAAGCAGGCTCTGTTAAGCACACAACCAAACCTGGGGCTCAATCCCAGGACCCTGAGATCATGACCTAAGCCAAAGGCAGATGCTTAACCAACTGAGCCAACCAGGCACCTCTCCTCTTCTTAAAGAATTTTTAAAAAGCAGTTTCTGTAATTTCTCTATCCACAAAATTATAGATATAAAACATCAATATTTAAAACTAACTTGAATGGCATTTGCCTATTTTTTTTAAAGAAATGACAGTGTAACTCAGATAATGTTTCTTAACACCAAAATAATCATTCTATTTGCATAATCTTTTAAGAAGCAGAACAAAAATTCTACCCAGGGAGCTAAAGTCAACAATGAATAAGAGGAAGGGCTCTAGTCCCAGGTATCTGGAACCAGACAAAGGCCATTTAGCCCCACCACACAGAAAACTGGGCAGAAAAATGTATGGGAGAAATTAAAATTGATCTGTTTTTCTTCCTGGTCAACAGAGAGAGGGTAACATAAGGGCAGTATGGAACAGTAGCGGGGCTTAAGCTTTATCATCTGAGAAACTGAAACCCAGCTCCACCACACATTAGCCATCTGACCTTAGTTCAACAATAACAGCACTTAAAATAATCATTCAATAAATATTAGCTGTGGGCAGGGCACAGTCCTAAATGTGCACACCCACCAACTCACTGAATTTTCACAACACTCTGAGGTAGGTTCTGAGGGCCAGAGAGAGACTAGGAGGCTTGTCCAATTTCATACAATTAGTCATAGGAAGGCCAGAATTCAAACTCTGCCCAAGAAATCCCAAAACCTTTGCAGGGGTTGTCTTCTGAGCCCTGGTTTCCTTGTCCTTCCCTATAAGGGCTGCTATGTGGATTAACACCTCTGGCCTGTAAGATAGGGACTCCTCACCTCCCAGATCCAGTGACATAGCTGCCACCCCCACAGGGCACAGAGTCTCAGGTAAGCCAACTTCATCTGTTCAGAGTCACAAACTTTATCTTTTCTTCTTCTACCGTCTTTCTGCCCCACCCCTTAGACACACCTCCCACACACATACCTTTCACTGACCTATGGAAATATGTACTGAAGAAGGGGAGAGTAATAGAAGCCATGAGTATATTTACTGAAGGAAGGAAGGGAGGTAGCTCATGTTTGTAAGAGAGGGCGAAGTTGTCAGGCTTAATTCAAGCCAAGACCATGACAGGCAGAGAGCCACAGAGGCTGGAACTCAGCGCAGCAGACGTGTGCTGGAATGATCATGGGGGTTACGCA